GAAACTTTTCCTTGGGTAGCTAATTTTCCTTTTGTTTTAGCTGCACCCCTTGAACAGACCCAACAGAAAGAAACTTTGTGCTTGTGATTAAACCAATGCCTTCAAAGCTTATCTATCACCATCTTAAAAAAATGTTTTAGAGTGCACTTACTGAATTTTCAAACATTTCCCCAATATTTCAGTTGTTTAATCTTTTTTCTATTTTGAATTCGGTATATAATTTATCTGCCAAAGTTATGCATAGTTTGTCCATTAGGGAATGTATAATATATTGTAAGTGCAGTAGCAAAACAGGAAACTCGTAGCAAAATTTAATCCCTATTAAACAGTAAAAACCAACATTTGTTTTTAGACCAAATATAAGCATGTTCCCATTTTACTTTGAACATAAATGGAGTTCCAGGTGTTGAATCAGACACCAGGACACTATTCAGGTACTTTTAAAAAAAGTAAATTCACACCATAGCTTGGCACTTTGGTAATGTGTAAGATAACCTTTGTGATCATGGACTTCAGAAGATGCAAGTGGCTAGTACTGTATATGCATGTAGGTTTTGTACATTCTCTATTCTGGTTTCATTCTATTCTTCCTCTTGCTGACTCCTATCTACAGCCTGCAGGACATGGTATACTGTAGGTGTCTGGCACCTCCAAAGGAGTGAGGGGAGTCTATAAAAAAGTCATAGTCCACATCCAGATTAGACAGGACACCTCCACGATGTGTCCGATGTCCTTGGAGCAATGCCACCATCTGTATGCTTGTGGTGCCTCATGAACGTTACAGAACACAGCTCCCGGTTCAACCTGCCTGATCTTAAATTCTGAGGGTTGCAAAAAGAAGAGAATTGATACATCTTGTGTCTTATTGGGAATGCTGCAAATCAGTGCACTAACACACCCAGTGCACTCTGTTAAACAAAAGCAATACTTCTTGGTTAGACAGCCCAGAGCTCTTCCTCTCACATCTCCTTTTGATTTGAAGGCTATAACATGCCCTTCTTGTGGTTTTTTTTTTTCCACGAGGGCAGCATCATAGCGGACAAAAGTTTGGCTAATAAGACAAAACATGCTGACCGCAGTAAGCAGAGTTCAGTCTAAGGAATGGTGACTTGTTTGTGTAAATCTCTCTCTTTTTACATTGCTGTAGATGTGCCCCCATGTTAAAGTTTAGAGTCAGAATTGAATCTGATATTCTACAGCAGTGGTTTTCAACTGGGGGTGTCTGCAGACCTTATCTGAGGGGTCCACAAAAGGTTGTAATTACCATACAACAATGGTTTTCAAAGAAGAAAGGAAAGCAGCAGAATACGGACCCTGGACTTCAGAAAAGCAGACTTTGACTCCCTCAGGAACTGATGGGCAAGATCCCCTGGGAGAATAACATGAGGGGGAAAGGAGTACAGGAGAGCTGGCTGTATTTTAAAGAATCCTTATTGAGGTTACAGGGACAAACCATGCCGATGTGAAGAAAGAACAGTAAATATGGCAGGCAACCAGCTTGGCTTAACAGTGAAATCCTTGCTGATCTTAAACACAAAAAAGAGGCTTACAAGAAGTGGAAGATTGGACAAATGACCAGGGATGAGTATATAAATATTGCTCGGGCATGTAGGAATGGAATCAGGAAGGCTAAATCACACCTGGAGTTGCAGCTAGCGAGGGATGTTAAGAGTAACAAGAAGGGTTTCTTCAGGTATGTTGGCAATAAGAAGAAAGCCAAGGAAAGTGTGGGCCCCTTACTAAATGAGGGAGGCAACCTAGTGACAGAGGATGTGGAAAAAGCTAATGTACTCAATGTTTTTTTTGCCTCTGTCTTCACGAACAAGGTCAGCTCCCAGACTACTGCACTGGGCAGCACAGCATGGGGAGGAGGTGGCCAGCCCTCTGTGAAGGAAGAAGTGGTTCAGGACTATTTAGAAAAACTGGATGTGCACAAGTCCATGGGGCCGGATGCGTTGCATCTGAGAGTGCTAAAGGAATTGGCGGATGTGATTGCAGAGCCATTGGCCATTATCTTTGAAAACTCATGGCGATCGGGGGAAGTCCTGGACGACTGGAAAAAGGGAAGAAGGATGATCCGGGGAACTACAGGCCAGTCAGCCTCACCTCAGTCCCCGGAAAAATCATGGAGCATGTCCTCAGGGAATCAATTCTGAAGCACTTAGAGGAGAGCAAAGTGATCAGGAACAGTCAGCATGGATTCACCAAGGGAAAGTCATGCCTGACTAATCTAATTGCCTTCTATGATGAGATAACTGGTTCTGTGGATGAAGGGAAAGCAGTGGACGTGTTAGTCCTCGACTTTAGCAAAGCTTTTGACACGGTCTCCCACAGTATTCTTGCCAGCAAGTTAAAGAAGTATGGGCTGGATGGATGCACTACAAGGTGGGTAGAAAGTTGGCTAGATTGTCGGGCTCAACGGGTAGTGATCAATGGCTCCATGTCTAGTTGGCAGCCAGTATCTAGCGGAGTGCCCCAAGGGTCGGTCCTGTTCAATATCTTCATTAATGATCTGGAGGATGATGTGGATTGCACTCTCAGCAAGTTAGCGGATGACACTAAACTGGGAGGAGTGGTAGATACGCTGGAGGGTAGGGATAGGCTACAGAGGGACCTAGACAAATTGGAGGATTGGGCCAAAAGAAATCTGATGAGGTTCAACAAGGACAAGTGCAGAATCCTGCACTTAGGACGGAAGAATCCAATGCACCGCTACAGACTAGGGACCGAATGGCTCGGCAGCAGTTCTGCAGAGAAGGACCTAGGGGTGACAGTGGACGAGAAGCTGGATATGAGTCAACAGTGTGCCCTTGTTGCCAAGAAAGCCAATGGCATTTTGGGGTGTATAAGTAGGGGCAGTGCCAGCAGATCGAGGGAAATAGACGTGATCGTTCCCCTCTATTGGACATTGGTGAGGCCTTATCTGGAGTACTGTGTCCAGTTTTGGGCCCCATACTACAAGAAGGATGTGGAGAAATTGGAGAGGGTCCAGCAAAGGGCAACAAAAATGATTACGGGACTGGAACACATGAGTTATGAGGAGAGGCTGAGGGAACTGGGATTGTTTAGTCTACGGAAGAGAAGAATGAGGGGGGATTTGATAGCTGCTTTTAACTACCTGAAAGGTGGATCCAAAGAGGATGGATCTAGACTATTCTCAGTGATAGCAGATGACAGGACAAGGAGTAATGGTCTCAAGTTGCAGTGGGGGAGGTTTAGGTTGGATATTAGGAAAAACTTTTTCACTAGGAGGGTGGTGAAACACTGGAATGCGTTACCTAGGGAGGTGGTAGAATCCCCTTCCTTAGAAGTTTTTAAGGTCAGGCTTGACAAAGCCCTGGCTGGGATGATTTAACTGGGAATTGGTCCTGCTTCGAGCAGGGGGTTGGACTAGATGGCCTCCAGAGGTCCCTTCCAACTCTGTTATTCTATGATTCCTGGGAGTGCACACCTCCATTCAAAAATTTTTAGGGGTCCACAAATGAAAAAAGGTTGAAAACCACTGCTCTAAAGATTTGTTCTATCCCAGACCTCCTGACGCTCTAGTTTGAGCTTCTCTCCATTTTTTTACTGTACTGAGTGGCAATTTCAGTTAATATACCCAGTGACAAAGGAGCATTGATTTATGGCTGTATGTATTTAATAATGTACCAAGGACCATGCTGTCTGGGTACTGTTAATGATTTTGCTGATGGAGCATCTGGAATCCATTATAAAATTTGCATTTTATAACAGATTCCCGTTTTCTTCCTTTTGGGAGACCATTATTAAAAATAAACATTGCAAGGCAGAGAACTGGGTTTGAGTGCATGTACCTTTCACCCTTGGAGAGGTAGGCACAAATCATTCACATGAAAGAGAGAGAGATGATTGTTCTCATTCTCCATAATTTAGTTTGTGCCACAAAGTCAGCTCACTTTAGCACAACGTCAAAATAGGGTTCAGAGGATTGGAGTTGGTCAAAAAACTGACAAACTTTTCACAAGAAATAATCACCCAATTTTGTCATCAGAAAAATTAAAATTGAATTTTTGACTGGCTCTGAGGATACAGCACCAGGGGACTGTTACACCTTCAGACTGAAGTATAATTGCATGTGTACACTTGCATGATGCTAGCACTTTCACAGCGCTAAATTCATTTTCTGTAATTAAAAAAGCTTTATTGTTGCAAGTCAGACAATTGCAGATACAGAGCAAGAAAGGATTTTGGACTTAGGGCTCAAGACTGCTCATCCTAGCTGAGAGATCTCCCTCTTTTTCTGAAATCTTGGCTCAATCCTTGGAGCTACACCAACAGCAGCTGGGATATCTCTAAGTGTGACTAACCTTGCTATACTACTGAAGTGGTGTGCAAGAACCACAATACACAATTTTATCTTTGAAAGTACAGTGTTCATTTCAGGAAAAAATAGGGGTACATGTCCCATGATTCAGGCATAATTTCAATTCCAAATTGAATTTAAATAGTACCAGTTTGACTTTGTCTCCTTGTTCAACACATTCCATTGTTATTGGCATTGTAAGATCTAATCTATATAGTTTAGCTCCTAATTACCAATTTTGAACATCTCATAACTATGGAACTTTACATTCAGCATACAGCTACTGCAGGTGAAGAATCAGTCAAAATACATTTACTTTAGAGGACATTCTTTACTTCTCATACCTCTGTAGCAGTGTGCAGTACCATATGCATAGGACTTAAGAGCAAAGAAACTTGTTTGATAAAAGTGACAAATCTACTGTAATCTCAATATTAGGAAATAAAGTTTTGTGAGGTTAAACTAGAGTTGCTTACAAAAGAAATTGCTAAACTTGAACTCTGCAGAAGTGCTAGCTCCAATGACTGGCAGAAAATACTACCCACTTCCCACCAACTTTAAACACAATTTGAAATCACTGGCCCAGTGCTGAGGTTCCCCCCCCCCCCCATTCACATTTCATAAACAGCAGAAACAGTGCAGATCAACATGACCTGCTGGAATAGTCAGAGAGGAATTCAAACTTTAGTCTGATTGGTTTAATTTTTTTTTTTTTAGCAGGAGGAAAAAGAATAAAGTTACAAGAGTCTTTTAATATTTTCACAATGTTAAACTAAAACTGAGCACTAGGCTACATGTGTAAGTAAATCTAGAACACAAAAGGGTTAAATAAGATTTTCTTTAAAGATACAAGAACTTAAGCTTTCTTTACGTTTAACAAACTTCACAGAACAGATACTGCAGAAGGAACAACCTCTCCCCCCACTTTTTTTTTTAAAGTGAATATTGCCCATAATCCACATGAACTTTGAGTAGTGTTCTCTTAAGAGCCACCTTGAAACCAACTGTGCATTTATAACAGGGTTAAAGGAGTAGGAGGGATAAACAGCATCATCAGTATTAATGCGGAGGAGTCTTGTGTGTCAATCAGAATGTCCACCAAAGACTATGCTATGATTTTAGAGGAAAAGAAAGTGCGTATCTCAGCAACAGCTGAAATCCATGGTTTTTAAACTCTTCATGGCAAGTGTTAAAAATATCCTCAGATTGCCTTGTCACCAGGATGGAGTGGGACCATTTCCTGAAAATACAGCTGGAAATTTTGTTGCTGATTCCATAACCTTGAATAATAAAAAAATAGTTTGGTTTACATAGCTTGCATTTTACAAATGATGGAACATTTCTGATTTACTTCATGATTAAATCACACTAATACAGTCTGATGCTGAGTGTATTTTTAAAAAAATGTCTCATCAAATGGTTTGATCTGGCTACCAAACTAAAAATTAATTTGGCATGTATGAAATTATTTACCTTTAACACATGCAGAAAAAAGGAGGACTTATTTAAGCTCTCTTTCCCCACACACCATTATTGGAGTGACAATATGCTACTTCACCCCTTGGAAGTTTTACACAAGCCCAATTTTTCAAAACTATACAAAATCCTCCCCCCCATCCCAGTTTTTCTACTAAACTACCTGATTGTTAATGCTTTACTAACTTGGGTCAGGGAACCATATCCACATAGGACTACTGAGACAAATCAGCATGAATCCTCTTGACCTGCATAAACTTTGTCTGCAGCAGGAGACATGCTGATTTTTTTTTCTCTCTCTTTTTTTTTTCTGCTACAAACTAACAAGATCTGTGCAGTTCAGCTCTATGTGGCTCAGTGTGAAAGCGCGCATAAGTCTAAACAACAGATCCAAAGTTTTCTATTCCATGTAATGCATTTCACATTCACTTGCTTTGCAATATATGCGGGCAGAGATTTTCATGAGAGCATCGAGCTGCATAGAAACAAGGCTGACATAGCCCATTTGATTATCTTGTTAAAACTCAAGCTGATGAGGGATGCTTTCCTGGTTGTTCCCCAATACTGTTACTGAATTCTGTTTGCTACAATATGTCCTTTCCCCCCCCAATATATATGTCTAGCTACAGAAAGTCAGTCTGTAGAATCCAGCCTTGGCTACTGTGCTGTGAATTAGCCTTATTTGATCAATTATCAGATACCTGCACTTAGCAAAAGGCAAACAAGAGCCAATCAGGTTTCGGCCGGTGGGAATGGCAGCACTGGTCAGCATACATAACAACCGTGGAATCTGGTCAAACAACGCTTAGAAATTCTATGGATGCCATGTAGAGAATATACACTGTTTACTGCTCTAGGATGGAACCAGCTTTAAAATGAGATCACCATAATTTAAATGAAGAAAAACAGGATCTCTGCAGCAAGTTAGATATAAATTTTTTTCATAAGAATCTCTGTCCTCCTCTCTTTTTGGCTTCCTGGGAAGAATCAGAAAGATGTTCCCTCCCCAACAGAATCCCTGATGCTGGTGACATTGCCTAACCTCAAGAGCCACACGTGATGAAGGCACGGATGACCAGTCAGGTCTTCCGGGCTTAGCAGCTACCACTGCTGCTTTTAGTGGAGTTTCACCTCTTCAGGATTTACTAGAAGTGAAGAGGTGAAAGGCTGCACATTAAACACAGTTTGTCTGAAAGCCGTGTGCATAGCAAACTTTTACACCAGCTTCTACTCAGCTATTTATTTTAACTCTGCAGCTAGAAGGTTTCCAGCATAAGGCTTTTAGAGTTTGACTCCAGCAATAACAGAAGCCTTTGGATTTTTTGTTTTGTTGTGTTTTAAATCCACTAGCCATGCTCAAAAAAATATTTCTTCATGTTTTAATTTTATACATTGGCTAGCAGGCACCTTTGTAACCAGCCAGAAATCAATTTCAACCACCATCAACCCCTAAACTACAGTACCAGGACGGTTGGCTAAAGAAAGGAAACTGATTGGCTGTAGTCTGAAACTTGCCCAGTACAAGGTGTCTGGCTGACTTTGTCCTAAATAAGGCTAACATTAGTGAACTAAGAACAGCATTTGGTTGCAGAGTCTCGCACTCAGGAACACCCTTCGCCGATGCGCTGGCATGATCTCCCTACTTTCCGGTCCAGTTTCACCATTTTCATAATGGCTTCCTCGCGCCCACGTCCCATGTGGTCAAACGTGCAGTCATGTTGTTCGGGCAGGCGATGTAACATACAGAACACATAACCTGCCAAGGAGAAGGAAAGAATGTGTTGTGTTAAGGACTCCCTTGAAATGGCTGAATCCTATGTCACCCAGGAGAACAGCATTATGCTGGGGATTAGTGGGGTTTCAAGATCAATGAAAACTTCACGTTTTCATTTGTTTTCATGATATTGTCACAAATATTGGTATGAACAACTTTAAATTCCATGCTGTTTTGTATCATACACATTCAATGGGAGACAACATAATTTACACCTACATTTACAGAAATTTTCTATGGCATATCTGAGTTGGAGTCATATATTAGTAATTTATTCTTGCAACCCACCCCTCTGTGAGGAAGGAAGTTTCCTATTTTACAGATGAGACAGAGTAAAACCAACATTTTCTAAATTAGTCTCTGATTTTGGATGCCCAGCTGGAAATATCTAGGGTCTGATTTTCAGAGGCATTGAACACCTTCAGCTTCCTTTGACTTCTTTTGGAGTTGTGGGTGCTGAGCATGCTGTCCATGGTGTCACAGTTTGGGGACCCAAATACCATGGCACTCAAAATCAGAAGTTATTTTAAAAATGTTGACTCTGTTAGCACCACCAACCCTGTGACTGAGCTGGAAAAAGAACCCAGATTTCCCCAGTCTATTTGTACTGAATGCCATTCTCTTTTTGAGGGTGTCCTCACTCTCTGTCAGAACCCAGAGGATTCCCTTCCTCACGATGCTATGTCATGCCATTATCCTTCTGACTGTGGGTCAGTCTTCTCTCTCCCTTCCTTCCTCTCCCAGCTACTTAATACCATTCAGGCATCCAGAGCCCTGCACTTCAATGATAAAAGGCAGCCTTTTTTCCCCCCAAAGGGGAAGAATAAAGCCTCTTCAGCACCTAGTCTTTTTCAATCTAGGGAGAGACTGGAAACCGAACTCTCATCTCGGGATGTGGGCTGAACATCAGAGTGAGTATAAAAGTCTTGACTTCAGATCCCGTCTCTGACACAGATACTTGGTAACTTTGAACAAATCTCCTCTCTGCGTCCATTTCCCTATCAGTAAAATGAGGATAATAATTACCTCACAGGGACATTGTAAGTAGTGTTTCTAAAGGCCTTTGCAAGTGAAAAGTGCTGTATGATGGTAAGTAGTAGTAGGCTGATACAGTATGGCAGAACAGCAGCACACAGCTACCAGGATGGCATAATCCACTGCATTTGAAAAGTAGTACAATATAATGTATGCCAACAATATCCCTCCTGCATGATAGCTCAAAGGACATCATTCTGCCTCCCACAGAACACTTAGCTAGTGCCTCTCCATAAGCAATCAGAACGGATTAAAACAACAATTATTTCAAGCTTCTAAAACAGGGGTTCTCAAACTTCATTGCACCATGACCCCCTTCTGACAACAAAGATTACTACACGACCCCAGAAGGGGGGACCAAAGCCTGAGCCCACATGAGCCATGCTGCCCCAGGTTGGGGTGGGGGCAAAGCCCAAGCCCCACCACTCCAGGAAGGGGGGCCAAAGCTGAAGCCCCGCCACCCAGGGCTGAAGCGCTTGAGCTTTGGCCCCAGGTGGTGGGGCTCGGGATTCAACCCCAGACCCCAGTAAGTCTAAGCCAGCCCTGGTGACCCCATTAAAATGGTGTCACAACCCACAGTTTGAGAACCGCTGCTGTAAACCTATATTACAAGACACCACTATAGAAATGAAAGAACCAATAGATTACCTTTACATTGGTAAGATCCTTAAGAAAACCGATACAAAAAAAAAATCTCATGAGGGATTATTTTTGCAAAACTAACTTGAAGACAGAATGGATTTATTTTGGCTTGCAGTTTCGATGACACCTGCTACATTTTTTACATTTACATTAGTTCACATCGCTATATTTCACACCCTTACCTTGTGCAGAGCATGTATTCTTGGGATACCAGCAACAAAAATGGAGTTTCCTTTACTTAAGGTATCTTATTTAACAAAACAGACAATGATTCAGCTAAATTAGGATATAAAACCTTTATCCCTTTCCCTATTTATTCTCAACTGCTGATCCACAGCAGACATATGCAGGAAGTACCAGGCACTTCCAAGGTCAGATGGTAAAGATGGTTTAAGTAAGAATGCCCTTGGGTATCAACTTAACAGGCTACTTGCCTGATTCTCTTGTGTACATTCTGGGGTAGGGAACATCTCCAACTGAGATTGGCATTTCCTTTCTCCATTTGTTGAAAATAGGACATCAGCCTGCTGAACCAATACCAATTGGATGGCATAGGAATATAGCAACTGCCATATTGCATCAGACCTGAGGTCCATCTAGTCCAGTATCCTGTCTCTGAAAGTGGCAAGCATTAGATGTTTTACAGGAAAGTGCAAGAAACCATGCATTAACAGATATGGTATAATCTGCCCACCATGACAGTTTCATCCTAATCCCTGTTAGAAATTGCCTTAAACCCTGCAATATGAGGTTTCATATCCTTTCCACTTCTTTTTATATCATCATTAGCTAACAAGTCTGGATATTCTTGCTATCCATATAAATGTCCAATCCTTCTTTGAATCTTGCTAAAACTCTTGGTTTCAATGACATTCTGTGGCAGTGAGTTCCAGAGTCTAATTATGCATTGTGTGAAAATGTATTTCCTTTTATCAGTTTTGAATTTGTCACATTTCAGCTTCATTGACTGTCTCCTTGTTCTTGTGATATGAAGCAGGGAGAACAGAAGCTTTCACTCTATCTTCTCTAGACCAGTGGTCTCCAAAGTGAGGTGCACAGCAGGAGGAGCACCGCCGGAACGCCCCCGTCACTTTGGCGGCTGCGCTCCTGGACCTTTGATTCCTCAGTGGCACGCTGGCGGCTGCTCAGCTCTCCCTGCCCCATCTTTGGCCGCACGCCAGCAGCCATTCTTTTTTTTTTTTTTCGCTTCCCTAGAGCTGGCCCTGGGGGATGCGCGATCCAAAAAGTTTGGAGACCACTGCTCTAGACCATTGTTTTATGTAACTATCATGTCCTATCTTATTTTGTCTCCTCCTAAGGTAAACAATCCCATTATTTTCATGCTCCACATATCAGTTTTTCTAAGCCCCAATCATTCTCACCACCCTTTTCTGAGACCCCGCTCATGCTGCAACATCCTTTCTTAGACGAGGTGAGCAGTAATTTACACAGTATCCTACATAAAGATATTCCATCAATATTTTATCTATTATTCTTCCATTCAATCCTCATGTCTCCTAACATGTTTTTTAAAAAAAACTACAACTGCACACTGAACAGAAATTCATCAATCTGTCCACAAAAGGTATCCAGATGCTTTTCTTGGGTGGATTCTGTTAATTTAGAGTCTCACTATTCTAGTGGGCCAGTGAATGATCTAAACTATTTTCAGCTATCTCTTATTGCCGGGGCTTTTGCTTTTTATAAATATGTGCAAGTGAGAACAATGCCTTAAAAACTGGAAAATTTACAGACTGTTCAAACAGAATAGTGATAATGCCTACAACTGAATTCATAAAAAAAAATCCCATCATTAAAAAACCAATATCCAATACAGGATTTTTAACATTTTACTTAAGACAAGTTTTTATATTATTAGCTTTTCTTTTACATTATGCATTGGGCTTTTTAGATAGGTAAAGGATAACATTATCAAAAGTCCCTAAGAACTTAAATGAGCCATGCATCAGCCTATCGAAGCTAGGTTGTATAACAACATAGTTCTGAAGAATTTTTCACTAGTTCACAGTTGTATTATTGCTTCTGTATTCTCTCCCTGCTTCACTAGCCTTGGGAATCAGGGTGGGCACTACGTAGTCGGTTGTGTGTGGGAGTGCCCATTCCAGTCCCAGGCTCATCAACTTTGACAGCAATTACATTATTAATTTATTGCACTAGGAGAGAAGGCCAATATGTTTATCTCTACTCTTATCCTTAAAACCAGTTCAGATTTAGAGATGAAACCATTTCCTGAGAAACAGGAGCTCCCTCTTGGTTAGAAAGCAGAGTTAGATTAATGAGCTCTTGTGGTATATTTACTGTTAAGTTCATTACTGAAAGATACTGGATATGGGTTGTCTCTCCTAAAGGATAGTACAGAAATGCAGAAGTACCTTTGCTAGTCCACTTTAACAAGCAAAAAACTTCTTGCTGGGGAAAAATATCTGTCAGCTAAGGCTAGTTTAGCAAAAGCAGAGTCATAGCAAAAATACAGCAAAACGAACGATTTCAGCTCCGGGTGGCAGATCTCAATGTGCTACACTTCATGTCAGGAATAGGCTATGTACTGTGCTCTCTACACTACATTCATCTAATGCAGCATTGTGGAAAGATGTACTGAGGCATTTATACCTTATAGGTAGGGCCCTACCAAATTCATGGTCCGTTTTGGACACTTTCATGGTCATAGGATTTTAAAAAAATCATAAATTTCATGATTTCAGCTATTTAAATCTGAAATTTCACAGTGGTGTAATTGTAGGGGGCCTGACCCAAAAATGAGTTGTGGGAAGGTCACAAGGTTATTGTAGGAGGGGTTGCGGTACTGCTCCCCTTACTTCTGCCCTACTGCGGGCGGTGGCACTGCCTTCAGAGCTGGGCACCTGGAGAGTTGTGGCTGCTGGCCAGGAGCCCCGCTCTGAAGGTAGAGCCACAGCACAGAAGTAAGGGTGGCAATACAATACCATGCCACCCTTACTTATGTGCTGCTGCTGGCAGGGTGCTACTTTCAGAGCTTGGCACCTGGCCAATAGCGGCCGCTCTCTGGCCCCCCTGCTCTGAAGGCAGCACCACGATCCTCTGCAACTCCCTTTTGGGTCAAGACCCCCAATTTGAGAAATGCTGGTCTCCTCTGTGAAATCTGTATAGTATGAAGTAAAAATCGCAACAGACAAGATTTCGCGGGGGCAGACCAGATTCCATGGTGCGTGACGCGTTTTTCATGGCCATGAATTTGGTAGGGCCCTACTTATAAGTGCAGTAAGGAGCTATTCTCTGGAATTCATCAAAACGAGGCTTCTGCTACA